CACTGAACAGGCTGCCCAGTGAGGTTGTGTCCCTGGAGACATTCAAGACCTGCTTGGATGCATTCCTGTGTGACCTACTGGAGGTGATCCTGCTCTGGCAGGGGATTGGACTAGATGATCTTTTGAGGTCCCTTTCAATCCCCAACATTCTGTGATTGATAACAGATTTCTTTCTCTGAAAAATTAGTAACATTAATGAAGATAAAAGTTCAGATTTTCAACTCCATATCTAAAGAGAAATAAGACCTTCTGAATGCCTTGCTTTCTAGGGCTCCTATCTGGGCCCTTGAGAAGAACTGGATATTCAAAAGGCAGGGTGCTTAGCCCTTTCTGACAAACTGTATTTACTAAAAAGCATTTAATAATGATGCATGTTCTACTAGAGATTTGCACTAGGTACATGGTTCTTAATCTGCATGTCTTTCTAAACAGACAGGACTACCCCAGGAAAGGAAGGAGAAATAGAACGTAGAACATTTAAATATCTACATGTTACTTACTGTCACAGCTGCATAATTTTGTGCAGTGATGGTAGGCAATTTGGTAAATTCAGGATTGGATAAATTTACTAACAGGAAAAAGACTGAGAAGATGGTCAACCACTAGCTGCAGAAAAATGCCACTAGGAACTTGACCTCAGAAGTCCTTCCTCCAGATTCCTGCCATCCCCACAGCATAGACTTTCTTACCATGTCCTTCCTGCCAACTATATGGCAAATTTATAGTGGAGCAGCACTAAGGTGAAATAGCCAAACCTGCCTTCACAGTTCTGGGGAAAAAAAAAAAGCTGTTTTGCCCTCTCCTAGCACAGAAACTCACCTTAGCAACTATTTCAAAAGAGTTTTAACAAGGAAGATTTAGAAGAACTCTTCAGAAGGTGTATACAATTTTAAGGCCAAAGACACGAGCAATTTCAAACTACTGTAGTCTAGAGACATATTTCACAGTTGCTTTTTATAGCATCTGTGTTTCTTGCACTTCCTGAAAATATTGCTAAATGACATGATGCTAAATCATTCTACAAACTCAGACTGGTAGTATAATTTGAAACTAAGCAAGAACCTCTGCCATGATGTCAATTCAGGAAATCCATGTTTATAAACATCTATATTAACCAGTAATTCTAAAAACATTAGTTCCCAACTCAGGTGATTCAAAGAAACAGAATGCAATATCTATGCATAAGTAATCGATTTCTCTTTTTCTCTATCTTGTATGCCAAATAAAATGATGCATTTATGTAAAGCTAAACATCAAGGGTTGCTATGTGTATAGAAAAAAAGAAGGAAACTTTGACTACAGTTCCACTGTGTTATGATTTCTGTGGTGCAGAGAGACTTAAGAGGTACCTGTTCCTGTTGTGAAAAATACACAAATTAAGTCAAAATAAAGTGCTGCTTATTAAGTCTAGATCACTTCCTTGATCCCGTCTAGTGACTGCCTCACAAACATTTGAAATGGCATAAACAACAAAGTTCTGAGCTCTGGCAAGGTGGGCAAATCCCTTAGCCAAGTGTGGTGGCTTGGTTTGCAGTCAAACATGGCCTGCTCTCTCACTCTCCCTCTGCCCCCGGCCCCCCCCACCCCCAGGGAGCAGGGGAGAGAATTGGAAAGAAAAGGGCAAGGAAACTCACGGGTTAAGATAAAACTATTTACTAATTATAATAAAATGATAATGATAACAACAGTAATAACAGAATGT